CATTGAAATTTCCCAGCCCCTCAATCCCAAGGCAAAACCGATGAACACAGCCAACCAAAGCGGTTGGGCTAGAAAAGAACAAAGACGTACCTGCAGGGATTTGAAGCTGGAGCCAAGGCTGGTACCCATACGTCCCGCTAATGCCCTTTGTCCTAATGTATGATTCACCGTGCCCCCTGCACTCGAAGAAAGGCCCGTGTTAGACGGTTCGTTCTGAGGACACACAGCAGTGAGTGAGGCAGGGAGGGCGGAGGTGTGGGGATGGGCGGGCCCTGGTCTCAGAGGGTGGCTGGTTCTCTGATCCACCAGCAATGCCGTGGGTGAATGTGCACCCACTGTTGCCAGAAGTGAGTCTCAAGAGAAGCCAGGAATAGGGATTTTTAGCCGAATGTTCCAATTTAAAAATGTTGGCTTTAGAATGAATATGTGGGAGCAAAACATGTGGGTGATCTGCTGGCTATTTTTGAAGGAATTTCTCTATTCTCTTTATTTTTCTAAACTACAGGTGATGAGGGGAAAAAGGGAAGACATGGAGATACGAGCCTCAAGTATGGGCTGGGGGGATGCATTGCTGAGCAAACTTTTCCTCTGGCTGTTCCCATCCAGGTTGCTGGGCAGGGATAGAGGATGCAATAGAAATTCGGTGTCTACCCTGTGTAGCTTGGTGGGTAATGGAAATCTGTACATGACATGTGTCTAGTGCAACATGGAATGTGTTTAATGGGGAACGAGTGGAATAGGAATTACTTCCAAATGTGGTCCTGGCTTTTAGCTTTTAGGTCATGAATTTCGTTCCCTTCCATCACCAGTTTAGACAAATGGCTTTGGTTTTGAGTCAGGTTTACATTCTCCTAAAAAAAGTAATGATGGCCAACCTTCCCTCAGCCACTTCCGTCTCTGTGAAATAGGCGATTTAAGGTCCATCCCACCAGGAAAGCTTTTAGGCCGTGAAAAGCTGCTTTTCTTGCTTTTAAAACCTCCCCTCTGTGTTTAGGATAAATGGCATTCCTGGATCCGTTAAATAGGCAGTTAATAACGCCAGGGAAGCTGCCCACTGTACTGCCAACTCTAAAACTTGTTCAGGGGACAAGGCATGTGTTGGGATATTCTGCAGTGATCCAAAGCTGAAGGGCTACGTTCCGCCGTGGCCCTGTGATCTGCATTCTCAGGTGCCTCGGCACACACGGGGAGTATTGATCTGTTTTCGGTTTGTCCTGAAGGTTGACTGGATATTGGTAGTCTATTCGTGGCAGACTGCCTGCCAGGACCAGCTGGACTCAGGGTCTTTAGAAGAAGCATTGTCATGGGGAGAAGTCTGGGGGGTGTGTTTCCCTTTGACGTCGTTTTCAATGTGTCATTGTCTGGGGACGGGTTTTCATGCCTTTTTTTTTTAGAAAATGTGGATGATGGGGACTCACACTCCATGGAGTTTTTATGAGGCGTGAATGAGATGATTCATGTAAGAAGCTTGATGAGAACATAGTAAGCACCAAATAAATGACGGCCGTTACGATTTTTCTTACTCTGGATTTAAATTTTTAAAGATCTTGAATTTTGGAGTAGTAATAGAGTTGAAAAAAATAGATTGCCTTTGTTTTCTTGATTATTGTAAAGCGAACTAGTAATGAAAACAAATGACGGAAATTGACGGAAATTCGGGGGGTAATTGGTGTAATTTGAATATGGACTGTAAGTTAGATTATGTTATGGCAACATTAAGTATCCTGAATTTGATCCTTGTCCAATAGGTAGGTATGAGAATGTCCTTGATCTTAAGGAGGTTAAAGGGGCATGATGTCTGCAACTTTCAAAAATATATACCTAGAGAATCATACAGCACATGCAGCTAGCTGTTGCCAGTGATGGGTATGGGTGAAGGATAAATAGGAATCTTTGTACTATTCAAGATATATATGTATATATTTTAAAAATAAAAGTGGGCTGTTGAGAAAAACGTAGCTAGTCAGTGTTTTGTGAAACCAGGTAGAACTGCCGGTGGAGTTCTCTTAGTTTCCCACCCAAAGGTCTCTTTCTCCCCATTGGAGAGCGCCTCCCCCACCTACTCCCTGTTCCCACGCTCCAATTCCTGATGGCTGGGCAGGGGAGTTGAGAAGAGGAACTTCCTGCCCTGCAGTCAGTGTTCCTGCTGTTTCGTTTCCAACGCCCTCTCATAATCCTTTGTTCACGACATTGTAATCATCACCACAAGTGGCTAATTGTGATGTCACAAACGGAGGATTATGACTCAATGAGGACTAAACAGCAGGGGTGGGTGAATTTCTAAGCAAAGAAGAAGATTCTGTTTGGTGCAAATGCCCCAGGGTAATAAAACTGAAAACCCGAAAAAGGCAACAGGAAGGCCAAGCTGAACATATGTGATCTATTAGCCAAATTGTCTTCAAGTGGAAAACTTTTCTCTCTGTCCTTCTTACTAAATTTTCCATGTGGCACGAATAGCTCCTCTATGGCAGATAAATGGACTTGGTTTTAGGTATAACAAAGCTCGAGGAGTCTGGCTGACTAATTACAGGGATGTCACACCTGGACTGAAGAGTGAGTCATTAGGGAGCCATGGATGTGGTTTTATATTCCATAAAGTTGAATTGCTCTTTGCAGTCTGCATTGCAAAAGTCAGGCTGTAAAGATCAGCACAGTGGCTGCGGACAGCGGCTCCATCCTGGAGCCCCAGGTAAGGCCGGGGCCGAATGGGAATGGCCTTGGTCACTCAGGCCCAGGACAGTTTCCGAATGGGTTACATGTAAATGAAGCAGTGGTGACAGCTGTTGCTAGGGTTTGGCCTGGAATTAGTAGTCAGTTCTCCTCGGAACTGTAATTTTCAATTCCAAGCCAAGGATGTGTTTTTTTCCCTTTTAGGAAATGTGTGGTTCCCATGCTATTTGGTTAACCAAATATCCAAATTCTCCCTTGCAAATGGCACGAACAGCGCCTGTATCCTTGGGTTATTTGGCTGTCTCAGGAGTACTTTTGAATTTGTGGCCTTTTCTAAAACCCTGGTTTCAGGAGCCAAACCAAACTGGAAACCCCTTTGAATTGTTTTCCTCCGCACAGGACACAGTGTTCCCTTCTCCCGTGGGGTATATTTAGTTCTCTCCTTGGGGCTGTGGGAGCCGGAGCCCTCTCTGGATGAACTTCACCCTCCCTTCAATTTTGGAGGCCTTCAGGAAAAACATGGGAGAAAGATTTGAGGCTACAGTTTGGCATTAGGAGGAGAGCAAGGAAAGCCACATTTTAAAAACACGGTAAATTTAGTTATACTGGAGACTTCCCATTTGAGTCTAGGCATTTAATAATAGCCTTTATGCACCAAGTAGAAATTACGTGATTATCATCTTGGGGCTGTGATTAGAATGTGTTGCTCTATTGGTAACATTCAGAAACGTGTAACTTCATCGGTGGCCCAGGCGGCTCCGTGGTACCAGCAGGCGGAACATCACGTGGCCTCGCAGTTACACACTGGTTTGCAGTTCCCTGGAGACAACACAGCGACGAGAAAGTCGTGCCTCCATTTGCCACCGTTTCCTCCCTTGTTTCCTGAGGTGACCAGAGATGTTTGCTGGGTTTTAAGATCTCTTTCTCCGCACAGAAGCGGTGCCCTGTTTCACACCGGGTGTGTGTGGTGGGGGCAGGTGTTTTCCCTGTTCCTGCATTGCAGCCAGCCTTCTGCAGCAAGTGTTGTCTGGGTGCTGGGATGTGCCTCTATGTTCTTTCAGGAAGGGCCCGCTCTTTCTTTTCTTTATTCTTTTTTTTTTAAAATATATTTTATTGATTTTTTTACAGAGAGGAAGGGAGAGGGATAGAGAGCCAGAAACATCGATGAGAGAGAAACATCGATCAGCTGCCTCCTGCACATCTCCTACCGGGGATGTGCCCGCAACCAAGGTACATGCCCTTGACTGGAATTGAACCTGGGACCCTTCAGTCCTCAGGCCAACACTCTATTCACTGAGGCAAACCGGTCAGGGCTCTTTATTCTTTTTTATTTATCGACAGTCAGCTCATCTTTCAAAGTGAGTGCACATTTTAATTTTTTTCCTTTGGGTTCCTTGTTTGAGCGTTTAAGGCCCTTCAGAAACGCAGTCATTTTTATGTGGGTTTTCTCCGAGCCAGCATTTGCCACACACCGGTGATGCTGGGAGAAGCATGGGCGTGACAGGCTCTGGAACCTGCTGTGGCTGCTCCTGTGGGAAGTCTCACCCCGAGTGCTGCCGTGGGACGCACAGAAGTTGTGGAAGGAAGTGGTGGCCTCTGCTCCTGGGCTTCACAGGTCCGACTGGGAGCCAAACTGGGCCACCTGAAATCCTAGCAGTTCCCAAACCAGCCAGTGCACACAGACTAAAGCTGCTGCTGCTATTCCAAGGGACTAGGAGATTTACATTTTGTAATTTAGGGGAGAAGGGTTCCTGGGGTAGTTGACTTTGGGAACCAGATTTAAAAAGCATCAGTATAGCGTGGGGAACACCAGTTTATGATAACAGAGGCACCTGGGTGAGTCCCGTCCCTGGCATTGACTGACAGTGGGACCAGCTGGTGGGATCCTGAAGGTTCCTTGCAGCTGAGCATCAAGATCTGAGTGATACTCTCCACCTCCCAGCCAGGCTCCTCTAGCATCTAAATGGGGACCTCTGTCCTGTCTTATTTTCCATCTTGTTTATTTCCTTCGTGGTGTTTTATCATCAACTGTAATAAAAACTGTGTACACTTTAATTGGCTGCCAGCACACTAGTGGGCCAGAGGAGGGCATTTCGTGGCAGCCTGGCATACAGGGAATCGGGTGTCTCCTTGCTGTGATCTCTCATTTGGCTTTGGAAAGCATTGCGAGTGGGAATGCAGTCATGGTGAACATTTGCTTAAGCATTCACAGGAAGTGCATTGTGGATATCCCAGTTACTCTTTCCTGCGTTCCTGCATGGGGAGGGAGTAGCTTGTGTTTTTTTATTTCTTAAAGTTCAGCTTTTTATTGAATATGTTACAAAAGAGGTTTATTCAGAAAGACCAAAGCCCATGTCATCATCCGATTCTTCTTTCTTCGCTTCCACTGTCCTCTCCTCAGCTGGGGCACAGGATGGAGGGGCAGGACCTCCTGTTGGGGCAGCACCTGCTGCTGGAGCAGGCCCACCAGCCCCTACATTGCAGATGAGGCTCCCGATGTTGACATGGGCCAGAGCCTTTGAGAACAAGCCTGGCCAGAAAGGTTCAGCATTTACACCAGCAGCTTTAATAAGGGCATTGATATAATCCTCTGTCACCGTCACTTCGTCACAGTGTGCCCAGTAGATGCAGGTGAGCTCTGAGGCAGAGGTCATGGTGTGGGTGAGTGCTGGGCCGGCACTGCTGGGAGCATTGCTAGTTGCTGGATGAAGTGAGGGTCTCACCCCAAAGCAGCCTGAGCTTCCTCGGAAGGGACTGAACACGTTACCGGCCGCTGGGGGGAGGGGGCGCTTGTATTTTGTCAGTAGAAGAAGGCATGCATGCAGTCCACTTTATGGATGAGGACACTGAGCTTAGGGACCTTAGATGTGAGGACTCTGCAGGGTCACTGAACTCAGGAGTGGCAGAGTTGGGGCAGCTCTTCTGCCCACCAAGCCTGTGATCTTATTTGCATGCCACCACAGGGCAGAGAGGGGAGCGGGGAGTACTTGGCCCACTCCAGCCCCCTGATGCCTCATTGTTCAAGGTGCCAAGGGTAAGGGCCTTTGAAAATTGGCCTGTGCTGTAAATCGTTGGTAAGATTGGGGGGAATTGGCTAATCGTAGACCTCACTCTTGGGACTTGAAGTTGTTGCAGCTTCTATGAAATCTCAGGCTACACCCTCACAATCACACACACATGCCCTTGATCCTGCAGCTCTGCCCCCAGGTGTGCATCCTACAGGTGAACCTCCACAGCGCAGATGACCTGTGTCAGGGTTATTCATCACAGCAGTGTTGGGATTTGGGAAGGCTTGGAAACAACCCCGTGGCCCATGAACAGGGTTGTTGTAATCAATGACAATATGCTAAGTAATGGCGTGTGTACATTTGTTAAATATGGCGTATAAGCGAAACAACTCTGTCTGAACTGATACATGTGCCTAATTCTATCTGCACATATATTTCCTTGGATATCTATATCTTGTTCATTAGGGGAAAAGCAAGGTGCACAGCAGTATCTAGAGTAGGCCACCTTCTGGGCCATGCCCAGGAGTGTCACTGCCATCGTGGTAATAGTGCTGCGTTGGGAGGTTTCAGGAAGAGGTGAGGGAAGATGTACTTTTCACTGTCCATCCTCTTGTACCTTTGACTTTGTTATAATATATGCATTATCAACTCAGGAAATTCAATAAAGAAATCCCCTAAACCCGTGGTCGGCAAACTGCGGCTTACGAGCCACATGCGGCTCTTTGGCCCCTTGAGTGTGGCTCTTCCTAAGCCTTAGGAGTACCCTAATTAAGTTAATAACAGTGTACCTACCTATATAGTTTAAGTTGAAAAAATTTGGCTCTCAAAAGAAATTTCAATCGTTGTACTGTTGATATTTGGCTCTGTTGACTAATGAGTTTTCTGACCACTGCCCTAAACCAACAAATCAAAAATGAATTGTAGCCCTGGTTGGTGTGTTCAGTGGTTAGAACGCCGGCCCTTGATCTGAAGGGTTTGGGGTTTGATTCCTGGTCAAGGACACATACCTGGGTTGCAGGTTCAATCTCTTGCCCTGTTCGGGGCATGTGCAGGAGGCAACCAATCCATGGCTCTCTCATCTATGTTTCTCTCTTTCTCTCTTTCTCTTTCCCTCTTCCTTTCTCCCCACTTCCTCCTTCCCTAACTTTCACTCTCAAAATTAATGGAAAAAATAACCTTGGGCAAGGATTAACAAAAACAAACAACAACAAAAACAAAAACAAAAGAATTATGCATTGGCCATTAGGAACAGGAAGGAGAGAGCTTATAAAGTTTACCAATTAGACCAGTGGTTCTCAACCTTCCTAATGCTGCGACCCTTTAATACAGTTCCTCATGTTGTGGTGACCCCCAACCATAAAATTATTTTCGTTGCTACTTCATAACTGTAATTCTGCTACTGTAATGAATCGTAATGTAAATATCTGATATGCAGGATGTATTTCCATTGTTACAAATTGAACATAATTAAAGCATAGTGATTAATCACAAAAAACAATATGTAATTATATATGTGTTTTCTGATGGTCTTAGGCGACCCCTGTGAAAGGGTCGTTCGACCCCCAAAGGGGTCGCGACCCACAGGTTGAGAACCGCTGAGTTAGACACTATATTGAAATAAAACAAAATATCTATTTCCTGTTGAGAGGAAACCACCAAGGAGATTTTCACTAAATTTGGAGGAAATGTTGGAAATACTTTGACTTGAAAATCTTATCTGCCTTATCTGGAATTTGTATTGGGGGACCTTCAGTGATACCTAAATTGGTACTTAGCGATTTATTGTCCAGAGCACCCACAAAACCAGATTTGAATTTTGCGGGGGGAACCTGTGCTGTCTGTGTTAGCTCTGCTCAGGGTAACAGCCAACATCTATTCATGAAAGGAAGGTTGATGATTCTTGTGGGCAGTGTCGGGGAGTCCACCATCCGATGTATTTGTCAAGGCTTTAAGTGGACCCCCATCTCCCCCTCTCCCCGTCTCCCCTGGGGGGCGGTGGACATTAGGGGACCTGGCCGGACTTGACTCAATGTGGCTCTGGAACCCTTTTGGAAGTTCCTGGTTAATATTCTTTTTTTTCTTCCAAAGTGATTGCAATGATAAGAAAATGAATCTGTTGACTTTCCTACTTATACAAACATAGGAAAAAGAGTAAGTTAGGAGAGCATGAATTATTTCTTAAGAAGGACTTTGTCGCTTCAATAATGGTCTTAGGAATCTTTATTCAACATATTAGATACATTCTTTAGAGGCCAATTTGCATTCACGTAGAGAAATGTTTGTGGGGGTGGGGTATAATGTGCGACAATACCAGCTCCTTTTCAGGAAATCAATATGTTAAATAGCCCTCAAATTATGGCAGTTTTATGGTAGGTGGGATTAAGACTTTTTTGTTTCCAGGTCTGCTAAAGGACTAACAGAATATAAGACAGTTTAAATCACACACCATTGTGTTGATGGGCTGCGGGGAGCTCATACCAGCTTCCAGAGGTGGAATTGGGTTACGGGGCTTTTGAAAGCAGTTTCGTAGCAGAAGTCATTTAAGTACGGCTCCTGGTAAGTATGTGGTGCAGGGATGTGTCCACTGACCCCCTTCTTCTAAGGGTGTCTGACATTCCGGGTGCGGGGGGGGGCGACATCCCTTCTCTACCTCTGTCCACTGAGGTGGTTGTCGGTTGTCGGGGAAGGTGTGTTGCCAGATTAGGGATGTTGTCTCCAGGGAGGGATGGAGAGGGAGGCCTCCCCTGGAGTAACCCATGTTTCCAGCCGGATTTCTATTACGTACATGGGATTAGGCCGGGGCCGGCATTTAGACCAGTGCTGCTCTGGAAAACTGTTTTCTGTCCTCAAATCACACAAGGGGCTGCATGCAACCAACCTGGAGAGCAGGTTCCCAGGGGCAGCCTAGCCTGGGGAGCCAGGCATTTGCCCTCCCAGCTGGGGATCTTTGAGGAATCAGAGCTAGCTAAAGCCCGAGCTCATCAGAGGCCCTCTTTCCTGGCTGCCACCATCTTTCCAGAGAGACTCAGAGGCCACCAGCTGTGGAAGCCGGTCTTGAGCTTTGTCAGTGATTAGCTGCGCGGCGGGAAGGCTCTTAGCGTTTTTTCCTGGTCCCGCAGCCCTTTGGTGGATCCGAACAGCCTAATCTGGCCCCGCACTGAGCCGATGTGGCAACTCAGAGCAGAAGAAAGGCGCCATGTCCATTCTCCCGCCTTGTGCTTTTCATACCAAAGGATTTAGCGCTTATGTTTGCAAAATTCAATCCTTAGTGCCCTTGTCGACGGCTATTTACATTCCCTGTCCTTTTCCTGTTTCTGGGTCATTGGCTGCAAATGGTAAACATTGCCCTATCCATCCAGCTTTCTTTTTCTAGGTCCCCTGTCCGAGGCTGGTCATATAGAATCTTAGATGGGGGAGGGGTGACTTTGACTTGTCTGCTGAGTTCCTGGACTGTGCTCTTCTCCGGGCCCCGGGGAAACTGCCCTGTGTCTGCTTATCATCTTCTCTTGACAGGGAGGGCGGAGCTTGAGCTTTGGCGATGGAATTGCAGTTGGTTACCATGCTGGCCAGTCGGACGTGCGTTAGCCCAAGCATGATGACTTCTGTTTGAGGCCTCCTTTTACCATAATAATCCACCACTCTGGGTTTTATTTCTAGGAATGAAAATTATATTTACCGTTAGCCTAAGGAGAGCATTTTGCAATTCATATTTGGGACTGCTATCACAAGGCCCCTAATGCCAGCAAGAAGCGATTTGGTGATTGGAGTGACCTATTGGGGGCAATGATTCATAGACCCAACCACTCCCTATCGTCCCCCATAATAAAAAGTTGAAATTATGTGTATGAATTCACACATGTGTACACACACAAGAGTATATGTACTGGATTTACAGAAACTCTAAGATTTTCAACAAGACTAGAGGCATATGTGATGGTCTGACTGAAATGCAGACTGTATGGCATAAATGAAATTCACTTTAGAGGGGGCCTCGGGGGAGCACCTCAAATAGATGAATAGGCAACCATGCAAGGGCCAGAGTGAACTGCAGGCATTGCTTTGCATCAGATCTGCTTCTCTAGGGCACTTCTTAGCATCAGAAATCCTAGTCTTTCTGTTTATTTATTTATTTTTGGTTAATCTCACCTGAGGATATGTTTCCATTGCTTTTAGATAGAATGGAAGGAAAGGGGCGGGGGGGGGGTGTCCCGTAAGTGCCCTGACCATGGTGGGGATGGACCAGCAACCCAGGTACATGCCCTTGTCCAGGAATCAAACCCGAGCCCCTTCAGTGCATGGGCTGATGCTCTAACCATTAATCAGCACCAGCCAGGGCAAGTCTTTCTGCTTATTGATGGTAAATAATTTTCTTAAGAAATGGAGGCTAACAAAATGGTATGGTAATCATAAAGATGACAAAGTAGAAGTTTCTCATTATTTAGAGTGTGCTTATTCCATCACTGAAATTAGTTGATCGGAGAAATTGAGGATTTAACCAGCGTTGTTTTCTTTTATACTGTAGTGTTTTGGGAATCTCGGTTTGTTGTCTGAAAATTCTCCAGCTGCTAAGCTTCAATGGAGTTACCAATGGTGCTCCTCTCGATGACAGCCCAGCAGAGGAAGGACCCTCAGTAAGGCAAGGGGCA